TTTCTTTTTTGAATGAGCGAATTAAGTTTGTCATATGCGTTATAAAAACAAACTTCGCAGAAGTTATAAAAAAACAAAAACAAAAACAAAAAAAAAAAAAAAAGCAAAAAATTAAAGCGGTTGACAATTATTTGAATAGCAGAACCAACTCAGACAAGATGTTCCGTTTCCGTTTCTGTTACTGATTGGGATTCTTGCCGTGCAATTTTGCTGCGCACGCCCGCTTTAACCGCGTCCGTCGCACTAAAGTGTGCTACAATTTATGTTGAAATCTTGCGCGTAACTGAACTGAGCGTTGCGAATCGTTTGTACAGCAGCCGCCGTTGCCGTGGCCCGTGCACTGGCGCTGGCTTCGTTTCTGATTCTGGTTTACGGACTTTGGCTCAGCTGTCAATGCCGCAGCAGTGGCACCAACAGCAGCAGTAGTAGCAACAGCAGCCGAGGATGCTAATGCTAATGCCGACGCTGGACCAGCCGAGCCAGTGACAAAGTCAACTACAGCAACGGGTCAAGAGAGAGACCAAGAGAGAGAGAGAGAAAGAGAGACATAAATGAAAATAGCATGAGCGCGCGTGCGGTATTGCCGGGATACACAGCACAGCCAGCAGCTGCTTGACTACACCTGGATAAGTAGTATCGCTTTGGCCAATGAATAACATATTTTATATTCCTTTAGCTATTAATTTTGAATAGATTTCGTATTGCCGCATTTTCGTTGAACGCGACTGTTGAGCAGTTTTGAGTTGCCAGCATATTTGAGGAATGGAGAGTTGCCAGACAGAATAAGTTGCGACATTCCATTGAAATAAGTTAGGAGCTGAAGCTGCCTATTATGTATTTTGTATTGTGTAGCAATTCAAGATGCTTTTTATATGTTTACTTTTCGTGGCCTTTTTTTTTAATATTCAACGTTTGCATATTGTATTATATGACTATTGTCAAATATTCAGACTGTCAATCATACTGCTTAACAGTTTGTATAACATGTGTGTTATGTAGACCTTTAACAATTACAATTTATATGTAAATATTATCCATGCAAAAATCACATAGCACATACATACATGTATGTATGTTTTTCAGTGGTACAATGAATATGCGGTACCACTTTTTTTACAAGTCTACCGTTAACTGTAAACGTAAAATCGAGACATAGAGACGCACAAATGACCGATACATTCTGTTAATGCGACGCAGCGCTATTTAACACACTGTATCAGTGCCAACATATCGACCGACCGCCATTATTGCTAGTTGTGTGTCGGCCGTCTATCGCCCGTCGAAATATTTCTATCTGCAAGTTTTTCTCCACATAAGATTTTATTATGTTTAAGAAACATTCACGAAAGCAGAAATCAATACACTGCTAAACTCAAACGTTAGGCAAACGAAATCGAGGCAAGCATATTGCAGCACCAAAACGACGTTACGTTAACGAAACAGCCAACCAGCACCAAACAGCAGACATAAAGACTTGCATACACTCACGCACGTAAACGATAAAAACGAAAAACAAGAAAAAAACAAAAACGTCAAATATTTGTAGGACATACGTACAGGACCAATTCAAAGTTGATCAAACATATTAAAGGCGTCGTTGAGCTGATGTTAGCTTTTAAAAATAAAGGCTGAAGACAGCGAGCTGTGCTATTGGCTCTACCAGTGGAATAGTGTATTTGTGTACGTGCGTGCGCGTGCATGTGTGTGAGTGTGTGTGCGTGTGTTGTCTCTGATTGTTTTCTATTGTGTGCGCAGTGCGTGCGTTCGTTTGGCTGAGGGGGCGGGCGGGACAAGTGCAAGTGCCAGCAGCAGCAGCAGCAGCTAAAGGAGTGAAATCTGTGCAGCCAAATCGGCCAAACAGAACTGTGTAAGTAGCAACAAAACGCGCGCATGCTGCCAAGTGGGTGTGGTGGCGGCTGTTGCAGAGGGGGGCTTGCTTGGTGTAGAGAGGGGATATGCAGCGTGTTGTTGACTGCCTTCGTATTATTATTTTTGTGTTTGTTTTTGGTTTTGGCTGTTGTTTTAGTTTTTGCTTTTTCCATTTGCTTATCAAGATTTTGCGTCATTGCAGTTGAACGGGCTCGAGTTTCTTTAAAGAAGCGCGCGTCCATGTTTGAGCTTTTAATGCTAACTGAGAACAGACGACGGCAACTCGTTTAACAACTGCGCAACAAGGAGCAGCAGCACTGGCCATGCTCCCCATCAGCGAGGAGCAGCACGTGGACAACAGCAGCAGCAATCAGCAACCTGCGAATGTCTCAGATGAAGCCGCTGCGGCCGCGAATGGCCTGGCCGATGATAAGGCAGCTCTGGCCGCTGATGGCGGCCTGTGGACGGCACTATATGACTACGATGCACAGGGCGAGGATGAGCTGACACTGCGACGGGGACAGATCGTTGTTGTGCTCTCCACGGACAGCGAGGTCTCCGGCGACGTGGGCTGGTGGACGGGCAAGATCGGTGATAAGGTAAATATGCAAAATTAATAGTTAAACGTAATTAGTTACTCATCAGGGCTTATTCATTCGCCAGGTTGGGGTTTTTCCACGCAACTTTGTGACTGACGCGGATCCATTAGAATTGCCGCACGAAATCGACGAGTCGGAGTTGGACATCAAAGAAGTGATTGGCTCCGGCGGCTTTTGTAAAGTTCATCGCGGCTATTACGACAACGAGGAGGTTGCCATAAAGATAGCCCATCAGACTGGCGATGATGATATGCAGCGGATGCGTGACAATGTCCTGCAGGAGGCCAAGCTCTTCTGGCCGCTAAAGCACCGCAACATCGCGGCGCTGCGGGGGGTTTGCTTGAAGACGAAGCTGTGCCTGGTCATGGAATATGCGCGGGGCGGCAGCCTCAATCGCATACTCGCTGGCAAAATACCGCCCGATGTTCTCGTCGATTGGGCGATACAAATCGCCTGCGGCATGAACTATTTGCACAGCGAGGCGCCCATGTCGATAATACATCGCGACCTTAAGTCCTCCAATGTGCTCATCTATGAGGCCATCGAGGGCAGTGATCTGCATAATAAAACGCTCAAAATAACCGACTTTGGCCTCGCACGCGAAATGTATAACACGCAGTGCATGAGCGCCGCTGGCACCTACGCCTGGATGCCGCCCGAGGTCATCAGCCGGAGCATGTACTCCAAGTATGTGGACGCCATGTGGAATGTGGACAATATTCAAATGTAATTTATCAAATACGTATTCCATTGCAGATCGTCGGATGTGTGGAGCTATGGTGTGCTCCTCTGGGAGCTGATCACGGGCGAAACGCCCTACAAAGGTTTCGATCCGCTCTCCGTTGCCTATGGCGTTGCCGTCAATACGCTAACGTTGCCGATACCAAAAACTTGCCCCGAAACGTGGGGCGCTCTTATGAAGAGTGAGTGCAATGCGAATTATCAACAGAAAATCGATGCTAATATTTAGTGCTTTGCAGGCTGCTGGGAAAGCGATCCGCACAGACGGCCTGATTTCAAGAAGATCATCGAGCAGCTGGAGAGTAGCGCGTGCTCGAAATTTACGTTAACGCCACAGGAATCCTTTCACCACCTGCAGGAGCTGTGGAAGAAAGAGATCGCCGAAGTGCTGCACGATCTGCGCGAAAAAGAAAAGGTAACCAGTGAATACTCAATATGCAGCGATATCGTTGTATATTCTCTATTTGGGGTCCCGTATAGGATTCTTTCTCTCTATCTATCTTTAGTTCTGTATCTCGACATAAACATTTATCTTTCTTAAGCTCTCAAACGAAATTGTCTAATCATTTGATTTCACCGCCTTTTTTCTATCAAATTTTTCCGTCAATATTTGTTACCCAACTCCAAACCATGTTAAGCGTTTCCAAACTATCGAAGAGGTAAGCGCGCCTTGTTCCAAAAAAGGGCAAAACATTTTTGCTGCTCGATTTTGTTTCCGTTTTATTTCGAATTCGCTTCGTTTCTGTTGATGTTATTCGATTTGTTTTGGTCATTACTATTCGAGTCTTGTGTGCTTTAAGTTTGTCCCCCACCCGCCACGCACCCCCTATCACATGTAATTGCATGGATTTGCCAGAAATTTGCGAGTTTTGAGTCCGAGCGCCCCTGCACTGAAACCCCCATTCCCATTTTCGAGTTAATCCAAATGTGCTCGATCCCATCCCCTAGGAACTGCGCAACAAGGAGGAGCAGCTGAAACTGATGCAAAAGAAGCAGATGGAGAAGGCCAATAAGCTGCAAGAGTTGGAGAAGCAGCTGCGCCTACGCGAAATGAATATACTAGGACGCGAGCTAATGATGCAACCAGTGACTGTGCCCGTACCGGTGCCATCGAAACGGAAGCCCAAAAAGAGTAAAAAGGTAGAATTCAATGGATTCATTCATTCACCCCATTTCACTTTATTCATATATTTACTGGGATATTCTTTGCAGAAACCGCTGCAGATATCACTGCCAACGGAATTCCGGCACACAATTACGGCCGTTTGCGACAAGGTGGAGCCACCCGGATCGCCCTCCCTCTCCAGACTGCGCATTGTTACACGTAAGTAAGAAAGAAGTTCGAGTGAAGCTGTTTGAGATAGAACCCCAAAGACTGCTCCAATTTCATCTATTTAATCAATTCGAATTTAAGTGAAAATCAAGTGTAATGCAAAATGGATAGGAACATTAATATTACAAGAGATCAGAAATTAATATCAAATCCACAAACTGAAATATGAATTGAAATATATAGAGAAAGGAAATGATTTATTGACAAATATGAACTGTGATTACTGTTATCTTTTCTTAACATTCCAATACAAAATTTACTGTTATATAAACTGTTTTATGGACTGTGTAACACCCATTAATTTTCAGTTTTTCTCTTTGTAACTATTTGAATGCATGAATCAAAATTTGTAGTTTACTCAAGTTGAATTTTATTTTGATTATTATAACTAATCATGATTTGTATTAATTATTGATTTGTAAATATTGGTTTATTTATCGTTTATTTTCATCTCTTTTCTCTTTTTATTTTTTATGTGTTTGGTTTGTTTTCGCTTTGTTTTGTTGGGCTCGTGGCTCGTGGCTCGTGGCTCGCAGTGACCGATGGGCACAAGAACAAGACCTGGGGTCCATCGACAATGCACCAGCGCGAACGTTCGCTGCTGCCGACGCAGCAGGGCGGCCAGCCCGAATGGCCGGCACAGAGCTCGACGCACTCATCGTTCAGCAAGAGTGCGCCCAATCTGGACAAGAAGCTGCTGAACGCTGCGGCGGCGGCGGCAGCAGCAGCTGCTGCTGCGACGGCTGGCACTGGGGGCGCCACACCGACGCCTGCAACGGCAGCCATGGCGTCCCAGTTGCTGGGCAGCTCCAATGTGGGCAGCATTGCCGGCGGCTCGACGCCCACGTCGCCCATGTACTTGGGCGGCAGTGTGGCGGCGATTGGTGCGGTTGGCGCTGGTGTGGCTACAGGTATGCCATATTTAATACTGCATACCAATACCAATACCAACAACAACAACAACAACAGCAACAACAACAACAGTAATCACATATATAACAACAACCACAAAACTAATACAAACAGCATCATGTCATCCAATGCCTCGCCTCGATTAAACGGCAATCACAACAACAACAACAACAACAACAGCAGCAGCAGCAGCAACCACAATAACAACAACAACAGTAATAAGAATATGGCGAATCGCTCGCCTGCCACCAACATTTTTGGTCGCGCCCGCAGCCAGGATTATGGCCTGGATCTGCCGCACATTGGCTACAACAATGTGATCCACCTGCTGCCCGACGATAGCTCCGAAACGGACACCCTGACCCCCACAACGGGCTGCTTCCACTTCCTCAAGTCGAGCGCCTCCACTGTGGCGATGGCGCCGGTTGTATGCGGATCGCCGTATGGCGGCAGCCTCGGCAACAGTCCCGCTGTGGGCCGCAAGATGCTATCGCTAGACAGCCAGGTCGTGCAGCCCGGCGGCATGCAACTGCCGCCGGCTATGGCGGCTATGTCGCCGCTCGTGGCGCCGCCGACGCTGGAGCGGGGCGACAATAATACGTACGATCGGGCCTTCTATCGGGGCTTGGAGAAGAAGATATTGGCCAGCAGCGATCGCGTGAACTCCAAGTCGAGCGGCGACCTCACCATGTACAACTCCGCCACGCGGCTCACCGAGGCGCGAACCGAAATGGCAGAGGATGCGCTGGAGAGTCGCTTTCAGCGGAACGCGTCCGGCTCCCAATTTCCGCGACATTGCTTCTTTCGGCAACAGCCGAACAGCAATGAGTGCGACAACGACATCGATGACGATGACGAAGACAACGATGAGGAGGTGCAGCACCAGCATCACGACTGGGACCAGGACCAGTATGATCGGGATGCGGAAGATGAGCAGCGCAATATTCACTCACATTGCTCCTCGGAGCACTCGTCCTCAACCGTCGACACCTCAGCCAGCCAGACGCGTACCAACTGCCCCACATCGCGCAAGAGCTCGGTGACGTTTCAGATGAACTCCCCCTCATTGGAGACGGCGCCCGCAGCCACAGGAACTGGCATAGCAGTGAGCGATGCTCAGACGTCCATCGCATCGATCAGTTTCGGCACCAGCTATAGCTCCTGCGATAACGATAACGATAACGATGAGGATGATGACTGGAACGATCTGCTGCACCGCGCCGACAACGACACCAGCGATGTGGCACTGAACGGGGCCCAAGTCCACGAGAGCTGCATACTGCAGGCGCGCCGCATGAAGGATATTCAGCTCCACCCGGACGTGGTCAAGATGAAGGAGTGTCTGCTGGCCGAGCAACAGCGGCAGGACACCAAGCATTCAAAGAAGCAGAAACAGAAGCTGCGCTGCATCACCAAATCAAAGTCGGTCGAAGCGCCTGACAGCGCCGCCGCTAATAGCCAGCTCCAGCAGGCGCAACAAGAACAACAACAACAGCAACAGCACTCGTCAAGCGGCAAAATCAAGTCATTAATCAACCTGTTCACGCGCAGCTCCAAGAAAAAGTACACCAAACTGTCCGATCATCAACTGGCCCCAGCTGGCAGCAGAAGCGGCAGCATTGCCGAGTTCGGAGCCATCGATCCATTTGAGACGGAACTGCCCCTGGCGTCTGGCAAGTCCACGACGGGCCGTTCTGCGAAACGCAAAAGCAAAAAGCCTCAAACGCAATCCTGCGAGCAGCTGGAACGTGTCTGACTGTCTCCGCCTGCCTCCCACTGTGTGTGTGCGTGTGTATGCGTGTGTGTGCATAGGCCGTGTCCAACTGTGCTATTTGTTGTGTTAGTTGTTGTGGTCCAAGCCGTGCATCGTCGCAGTCCTGCATCGATCAATCAAATACCTGCCTATATATACATGTATCCAGTTACATATAGATGTATATGTATGCAGTCAACTATGAGCCCTTGTTTTATATTAAAACCATAGACTAAGTCTAAGTAACCTACACACACACACACCTATACACCCACCCACACACTAGCTCCTTACTGCTTGTATACATCTAACCATAACAATAACAAGGAAATGTTCATTTGATCTTTTTTTTTTTTTTTTTTTACTAACGCTCCACATATGTGTAAGCAGAGCTCGCTAAAGTCTAGACACAAAAAAAAATAATGTTTCAACTGCAAATGAATGCACGATGAGTGTATTGTGTGGTCCAAGAGAATTCGACTCGAATAATAAACAAACAAACAAAAAAAAACAGAGTAGTGTTGAAGAATAAGAAAGAGCAGGTAAAGAGAAAGAGGGCGAAATAAAATACATATAGATAATCAGAAAAAGAGACAACGGAAAGAATTGAGGAAATATTAGAATAAGAGACGCGTGAGAGAGAGAGAATGAGTGAGGGAAAGTTTGCAATTTGAAATTGACAGATTCATCTTAAAGAAAAATCTATGGCAATCTATTGGTATACCATATAGAGAGAGTTTTAGTGAAAGCCCTAACAAATATGTCACAGCTACTATAGCTGAATATACTCTAGAGGGAAGCAAGCGAAACGGCATTTTCAATGGGTCGCAGCCCGAATACGAAAAGTGTAACTGTGGAATTGAATTTCATTAGATAAACTAATATATATATAAAGTTGAAACTCAGGTATAAAACGCGAAGATTATCACAAAATTATCAGAGCAAAATTTTGCTATTTGTATAGGTAAAGCGACCAGTGAAAGAAACTTAAGCAAATGAAAGCGGACTAGATAAAAATAAGTCATACGATATGGACATATATCTGGTTCCATAGGAGATATATATAGACATATACATATATATATAGCTTTTATCTATTCTTTGCTGACACAATGTGGAGCGTGGATAAATCGGAGAATTGTTCGCCACAACAAAAAATATTTATAAAAAGCGATCGACATATCTAATATTTCATATACATACATATAAACAATATACATGCATATATATACATATATATATGAGAAACGCACATTTACAACAAAAGAGGAAAATATTTTGTTGAGCCTAGCTTAGTCGTACTTCATATTTTTGTTCGTTTGTTTAATTCCTTCTGATTGCAGTAGCCAGATTGAAGATTCTCTCTGCTTCTTCTGCCTCTGCTCTCTGATCAATCCTGAATTTGTTGTAATCTTTCGATATTCTTCCTTTGGTATTCTTGTGCAGTTTTATTTACATAGATTTTAATTGAATTGCAATTGGCTTTTATTTATTTGTAGTATTTGATTTACAAAAATATAAATATATATAAAAAGAAAACCGAAAAAAAAACTGTGATGAAAAATAATTAGAAACCAAACATCGAAAAAAAAATAAGAAAGAAAAAAGAAATTTGCTTTATGTATCATTGCTTTTATTTTTCAAAAATACCCTGTAAGCATTGACAATGGCAACATTGCGGAAACTGTATTTCTGCCCATGTAAAGCGATTCTGTCAGCATATATGTATATAATATAATATATAATCCATCTATATGTATGTCTGTCTGCTAAGAATGTCTCTAAGAATATCTCAGATATTGCACTTTTGAAAACTCTCGATTTGCTGCCTTCACTTGCTTGCACTATGTGTACAGGGTACCGGCTAGTCGAGCAACGACGACTAGAGCACTCTTGTTCTATTCCTTTTAGTTTATTTGTTTTCCTTACGTGTTGGCTTGAATGTAATCTGTATATCTACATACATATGTATTTTGTAATTTGAAAGAGAAAACGAGATAAAAAAGAAGTGAAGAACAACTGCAACTACAACAACAACAACAACAACAAGCATACACATTAACGAAAACGGACAATAAATCATGAAAAATAATAAGAGAATAATTAATTTAGCACGAGCTTCTAGGGATCTCTCAATGGTATAGGTTGGTTCTTGCCCGTGGTGAACCCTGCCCCCGTCCTTGGGTTCCAGGCCCTAGCCCCTAGCTCCAAAGCCCCCAGCAACTTACTTGTCCCACTCTCGAGCTACTTACCAACACCCACAACCGAAGTAACAGTAACCGTTTAGCCACACTTTTCTCAACACTGTTTCGTCAACTGTTCACGCTGCCGCATTGCGGGCCCGCCCCCACAGGCTACCAGGGCAACAGCAAGGAGGACTGGCGCTCGGGACCAGCGGACATGCCCATCATGTCGCCATCTCCGTATCTGCTCAGCCGCTTCACCAGCAACGTGCCGCTGCCGACGCTCTACGCCGGCGACGCGGCCCGCAAGCCGAAGCTCTCCGTGATCGAGCTGCTGCTCTACAACATGGCATCGCTGCTGGCGGGCGTCGCTGCCGGCTACGATGTGCGCATGTCCAATGTGTCGCCGGTGCACCCGACGCTGCTCAGCGAGCTGCCCGCCTTGAAGGCGGCGCCGAGGGCGACAAACGCGGACGACCAGGAGCAGCTGCCGGATCAGGTCGATCAAGGCGAGCATCAATTGGAGGCGATGCGTCACTTGGGCCCCAATCGGAACTCTATGAGGTAAGTGCTTGTCAAACATTATACAAGCAAGGCGTTAAATATTTGACAATGGGATAATCTGACAATTAACTTTGACAAGTTTGTTTTGCAGTCAATTGTCAAACTTCGCTTAACCTGTTGTTAAGTTTGACCTAATGTTTAATAGTAGGAAGTAGATCTCCTGTCAAACCCATCTAATTCTAAGTTTTAGTAATTACTGTTATGCACCTGACTTTATGTTAAGTATTTAACAATTAGTTTGACCATAAGCTTTAACATCCTGCTAAAGCCTATTGACCTATTGCTAATGCCTTTGTCAATTGGTAGTTTTTTCATGTTTGACAATGTTGCTAATGTGCCTGTCAAAAATTAACTTGAGCGCCTTACTTATTTGACACAATGAAGATTAAATATGTATTTAAGATTTTGTTAAAGCGACAATCAATCGTGTTATTTTCGCTCAGATAAAATTTTAGATATTATACAATAAATCATAGTGACTGTCAACTTTAACTTCGTGTTAAAGTAGCAATCAATATTAATGTGTTGTTATTCTCGCCTAATGAGATTTTTAAATATTTAACAATTAGCTAAAATGATAATCAATTCATATCATGATTATCCCGCTTAAGTAGATACTAAAAATTTAGCATTTAATTAAAGTTCGAATCAGCTTTCAAATATGCTTAATAACTACAGATTTGTTTAACTGATTCATTTATTTAGTATATTTAGTGATTTGTTCCTAAAAACAAGTAAGAAAGCTCTAGTCGAGGATGCCCGACTACGAGATCCCCTGAACCCTAATTCAATCATTTTTCACACACATACACACACACGCAGACATACACACACGCACGCACACACAGGCATACATACACACACACACACACACATTCACAAACATTTACATACACATACACACACACATATACACACACATACACATACACATACACACGCATGGGCGGCAGTAAGCGCTTACTATGAGAACATAATTGTTTGTTTAATAACTTCTTTTGTGGACGTACGATCTTCATGAAACTTTCAGATTATGATTATAACATGAATATGGATGTCAAAGCACAAGTCTCTAGTATTTGAAATACGCTTTTTACAAAAGTGATGGTGAGGGGGGTAAATTTTAACAAAAAACGAAATTGTATAAATTGCATGTAAGCATACATTGAAAATTTGGAGACTCTAGCAATAAAGGTGTAGAAGATATAATCTTATAACTAGTTTTCGATAAGGTGTTTTATCGATAAAAAAGATTGGGGTGAGTTATCGATATTTAATGATAAACTCGATATCCGCGCTGTAATTACGGACATTTAAAAAAAATTTGAAGTATCTAGCTCTTATATCTTCTGAAATCGACGCGTACATACATACGGACAGACGGACAGGGCCAAATCGACTCAGCTCGTCACCCTGATCAAAAATATATATACTTTGTGGGGTCTGCCACGCCTCCTTCTGCCTGTTACATACATTTCAAGAAAACCATTATACCCTGATTTCCCATTGAAGGTGGGTTCAGGGTATAATAATGTTAAACAGCTGATAGTTGCCGCTAAAGTGCCTGTCAAACTGCTTGCCAAATCTCATCCTATCGATCTCAAGTCAAGCCAAGTTTAACATGATGTTTACATTCTGTGAACTAACTGGTAGTTAGTTACAGTTAAGTGGTTGTTAAGTATTTGACATTGGACTATGAACTTATTCTGAAAATTTTCCATTTCCCTCACCCATGCAGCTACTCAGCCCTGGATGGAATTACGGGCGCATCGATGGCCACGCCCAAGCCTCAGTCAGTGGCACAGCGACGCGTGGGCGGGAGCCAGACGTATTACACGCCCGTGCAGCGCACGCCCCAGCATCAGCTGCATCAGACAGCGGCTGTGGCGACAACGACTGTGCCGCAGCCTCAGCCTGTGCCTCAGCCGCAGCCGCAGCCGCCGAATCAGGCCGTGGCGCTGCTTTATGCCGGCTCCCAGCCGCCGACGCCGTCGCCGCGCCGCAAGCTGAGCAGCAGCAGCTGCAACAACGCCGACGGCTTCGAGGAGTTCCGCGTGGGCGGCGGCATTGGACCGCCGCCGCTCTATGCGCCCGCCGACTACCTGCGCAACGGGCCGAGCTACTCCAACGATGGCGGCGCCTATCGCAACGGCTATTTTGGTAAGTGTCCACCTCCAGTTGGCAGCTAAATATCACCGATTACTCGACTGATCCATCTGCATGTTGCAGGCTCCAACTATTTTCCGTATCGGCCAGAGCTGAATTTTGCATATGAGCGAGACTGCAAGTCGTATCCGGACTACTCCTACGACTACAACCATCGCCTGCCCGACTACTACGACTACCAGTATGAGCCGCCCGTGCAGGCAGTGCAAGCGGTGCAGGTGGCTGCGGTGGCAGCGCTGCCGCCGCTGCAAACGCGGACGCCGCCCCCGCGCGTTCCACAGATGGGCGTCAGTGCGGGCGGCCATCGGCGCACACCCTCGACGGTGTCGAGCAACTCGAACGTGCTGCTGGAGCACGAGGAGCTGCTCTACGACTACAACAATCTCAATCTGAACGTGAACCTCAACGTGGACTACGAGTGCGAGCCGGCGCCAAAACTAACGACGGCGTCGCAGCAGCAGCAGCAGCCGCCGCCCTCAGCCGGCCAGCAAGAGTTCTATGCCGGCTCGCCCAAGCTGCTCAATCGGATGCTGCACAGTCCGTTGGCCGGTAGCAAGTATGCGCCTGTCGCACGTCCAGCCAGCCTGCCCTTCGAGCAGCACACGCTCAGCTACCAACTACAGCAGCAGCAGCAACAGCAGCAGCTGCAGCAGCAGCAGCAGCTGGCACTGCAGCAGGCGGGGATTAGCCAGGGCAAGCTGCGCAGCTCGCTGAAGAAGTACAACAGCAACACGCTCAATGGCAGCATCTCGTCGCAGCAGGGCACGCCCACGAATCCAACGCCGCCCGACTCGCTGACCAGCGACGACAGCTCCTACTTGAGCGCCAAGGAGGGCTCCATTGGATCGCAGCACAGTCGGGTGCGCTTCAGTCCGGAGGCCTATCTGGATGCCAGCAACTTGCCCGTGGGTGTCTTAGGCAGACGCATGACATCGCCGGGTCTCCAGCTGCCCTCGCAGCAGCAGCAGCAGCAACAGCAGCAGCAGCAACGTAGGCATCGACATACCTCCAGCGCCAGCACCCCATCGCCGTCGGCCTCATCGTCCTCCTAGCAGGCGCGCCTGGCGCTGACTTTGCAGTTAGCGCGCAGTCCCGGCGCGGACGTTGGCAGCGCCGGAGGCGCCTCTGGCTTGGCCCTGGGCCTGGCCTTGCACCAGCAGCGGGTGCCATATCGCTGGTATTCCGGTGCGCGGCGTTCTCGCTCCGCTCACTACGAATATCGACTCTGAGAGCCGAAAAGAGACAGAGATAGCAATAGTGAATGCGAGTACGCGTGCGAGTGCGAGTGCGAGTGCGAGAGCGAGTGGGATGGCAAACAGTTTATAAATACATTGATACCTCAAGCATGCGTACATTAGAGCGAGAGCGCAAGCCCACACACACACAGACAGAGACAGAGACAGAGATAGAGATAGAGACAGACACACAGACTACAGCCTGGTGGTAGCAGATCCATGTTATAGTACCCAGATCTGTTACTGTATATAACCCCTATATAGTAGTCAACATATATAACCTCTTGACTTGAGCGATTTGCCTTAAATATTTATAGCATGAATATAGAGATTCGAATTCCGAAGAAGCTGCTTCAGACCACAAGCTCATGTTAAGTTGAAGCTTATAAATACCTTGATATATGTACATACATACATATATACAAATATATCTTAATTTATATATATGTATGTAGATATGTATGCAAGCATATGGTCGACTGTCTTTCATTGCGTTCTTTGATTAGATGCCACGCCTTATGCCACGCCCCCAAAAACAATAAGAGCTAACAAGTAAAACACTAATTGCAATTCGAAACTAACTAAGCTAAATACACCAATAACAACTCCATTTTTAAGTCTGAAGAAAACGTTTATACATACATACATACATCTAAATATAAATATATA